TATACCTAAAATGTACCAATAAAGTTAATGGGGAAAAACATAAATTAATTAATTAATTAATTAATTAAATAATGTCAAACCCCCCCCAAAAAAAACTAATATAGAGACCTTGTTTAGTCTTGATTTGAGTGAATCAAATAGAAAGAAAATTTAAGTGGTAATTGAATAATTTTATATTGAATATACATCATGATATTACTATAAAACTTTGTTAAAATGTTTTTTATACCAGTGATGTTGTAGTTTCATTCTTCTTTAAAGTGCTTATGTGTTAGATATTTATTCATAATTTTTAAAAGTTTATCCTTACATATTTATTAGTTGTATGTCTGAATTTATTTCAAAAATCCTAAGGGCTGGGAGATCGATATATCAATCCATGTATTAATACTTGCTGATATTAATAATGCATGAGGCTTCATTATACTAATTTATCTACTCAAATATATGTTTGAATACAAAGATTGGGTATTTGAGTGGGGTAACTTAAATAGCATTTCTGATCTCTTGTCTGATCTCTGAAAGCTTTAATGTCTTAAGACAACTACTCACAGAAAGAAGTACAGTACATGCTTGGAAAAAGTAGTTACTGAAGTACAGTGCTAACCAGAGGCTTCCAAGGTGTAATATCCGAGCAGGAGGCAATAATCAATTTTAAAAGATTCCTATATCTATTGTTGATTGGGAAAGGAAAGATCTTTGGTCTGGAAATTAGAAAACTGCTAACACCTAGCTTTGTAATCTCATACATAAGTTTTGTAGGTTTGGAGCACGAAAGCACGGAAAATGAAATAAGAGGATCAATAATAATTGTATTGCGGATGTTGGCTTTATCCTTGGCACTCTCCTAAGCGCTTTGCATTATTTTATTTAAACCTCTCACTCAACGTGTTATGGGAGGCTTGAAGTTAAGAGCATCCTGCCTCAGCCTCCCAAAGTGCTGAATTTACAAGCGTGCACCACCATGCCTGGCTCATACTTATTAAAACTACTGAATTAGGTAGGCATCGATACATGGAACTATTTTGCACTTGAGGTGAAACGAGGTTTTACAGGGCCCATTGACTTATTTAAGGTCACGTACAGAAGTGACTTGGTCCACTTGGAAAACTCAATCGCAAGGGACGGTATTGTCTGAGGGGAAGTTCTGGAACTAGAATTACTGGAAAACTGAAAACGGTTCCCACGGACCTACGGTTTTCTCACGCGTCGCACTTGCCTCGACACAGCTTGGCCTCGGGGCGCCACAACCAGCCCGCTCCTCACTTCCACCACCTGGTGCGCGGTCGGTGATCTTTAAACTACAACTCCCAAGACGCCTTGCGAGGACTCTTGGCGCGTGCACCGGAAGTCGGGAAGGCTGCATCCGGCGCTGGGAAAAGTGCGCGTTGGCTTTCCAAGCTGTATCCTGTTTACGGCTACTCTGGTCACTTTGGGTTAGTAGTAGCAGTGGCGAGTTAGTCGGCCCCACGATCCCCTCTGGGAGACAGTGACCAGTGCCTCGGGCTCGGCCGCTGGGTCGTGTGGCGCACCCTTGCCCCGGGTTGGCGGGTGCCACGGCCTGGTCGGTGGGGCTCCCGGGACGGGTGGAGGGACTCCTGCTGTTGCTGCGGCGGGTGGAGTTTCCACCCCTAGTTCTGAGAGGAGGCATTAAATAAAAGAAGAAAAAAAGGGGCGAAAGCGCTACTTCAGATGTGATTTCACTTTTTTAAAAGGAATCTCGCAGTAGCAAGAAAGTAAACCCTAGGGTATTTGACTCTTTGGAGACACCTATAGGGTTTGTACCTGATTGGTTAAATGGCGGCCCCGTGTCTGGAGTGGAATTCACAATATCAGTGATTTAAGTGACAGAGCCTTATATTTGAGGTTTTGTTTGGTCACAGTCCAACCACGTGACCTCGGATAGGTTTTTGGGCCCCAGGTTACTTAACATGGCAGTAAAAGTGGATGTTGATCTGGTTAAAATGTAAGTCCTTTTAAATCTAAGATTGCTTTAATGACCTCTCAATAGTTCATCCTCTTCTTGGGAAACAGGTATAGCCCTTTACCTTGCCTTCACGTCCTTTCTGTTGGACCTGTCGGTGAATGAAGAGGCAACAAGCAGGAGAGCTAAATGTCAGATTTTCTGTGCTCATCCAGAACTTGTAATGCATTTTTTTCTAGATGAATTTTCTGTTAGGAAAGCGAACAGGTTTTCTTTTTTAACAAACTTCAGAAGCGAACAGGTTTTCTTTTTTAACAAACTTCAGAGAATACAGAGAATGCTGTAGACATACGCGTTGTATTGGAGGTAGTGAGTGACATTGTATCTTTGGAGGACAATTTTGCAATCACCTGCAGTGGTATGTGGCAAGCGTGACCATGACAGAACACAGGACAGTGAAATACTGTTATAAGAAAATCTGAGTGAAGAAACTGTAGTAAAAGTTTATGAAAAATAAATTTGAGAGAAAAGTGGTGTGGTTAAGAGACCGTACCAGAGGTCTGTTTAGCAGTGCTTCAAAGTCTTAAAAAGCTACCACTTTTGTTATTCATAAGTTTTTAAAGCATTTAGAATCTTCGTTATGAAAGGAATGAATATAAATCTAGAGTAAATAGTTGTTTTTCAGTGTAGAGATCACCTCTTATTTGTAAACAGGTTTTAAATATTGAGTTATTTCCATTCTGTGTGTAAGTTTTAATCTATTTGTAAGCAACAGATACAAACAGGAGGGCCGGGGATTTAGCTCTTTGGTACCGGCGGCTGCCTCGCAAACGCAAGGTCCCAAATTCAATCCCCAGTACCAAAAAAAAAAAGAAGACCAGATACAAACAGGAAATATGAAGAGATAACACAATAAGAAAGTTAGTAGTTAGCCCATTTTTGCCTAAATTTTTGTTCAGACTACATTACAAAATTGATCAGCCAAATTGGTGTTTCAAAACCTTGAGGCCACAAATGTCAAAAATTATGGGTTATAACTTTTCATGTTAGCCTAAGTACCTGATTGCTTAGAAATGGTAGACTAGTTAGAATCTGAAATCTTTTTCTAATAGCATTTCATAGAAAAAAAAATTTTTAAAGAATACTTTGAAAAGTTCATAGTTGAAACATGAACCATTTTCTTTTTTCTTTTTTTTTAAATTAAATTCTTTTATTGATACATTGTAGGTATACAACACAATTGCATTTCTCATTGGGAATTGTACCTTTACATAATGCATCTTGGTTCTTATTTTTTCCCCATTCCTAGCTCTTCCTTCACGCCCTCCACCCTTCCCTATTTACAAAGACTTTATTTCCATTTTTTCCATTTCTCATCATTTTTCCTTTCCCTTCTTTCCTTTCCCCTGCCCCTCCCACTACCCCTACCCCTTTGAACCTTTTCTTCTTATTTTACATTTTCGATTATTCATTCTAATCATTGTTACATTTTAGGTATACAATATAATGACATTCATCATTGGAAATTTGCACCTTTATATAGTCTCTCTTGGTTCTTATTTTTCACCCTTGCCCAGCCCTCCCTTCAACCCCTCCAGTCCTCCCTATTTACAAAGATTTTGTTCCTGTTTTTCCATTTTCTCATATTAATCCCATTCCCTTCTATCCTTTCCTCTAGCCCTCCCACTTCCTTCCCCTTTGCCCCTTTTCTTCCTATTTCACGTTACCTATTATACATTTAGTCCATATTTACACTTTCAGTTTCTCACACCAGAGAAACTATTCGGAATTTATTCATGTGTGTCCTATTTATTTCACTTAAGAGTATCGCCTCAATGTGGATCCACTTAGCTATAAATGTCTATAATTTCTCATTTCTTATGGCTGAGTAGTACTCCATTTTATTTAAAAAACACAGTTTCTTTATCCAGTCTCCAGTTGATGGGCATTTGGGCTGTTTCCAAGTTGTAGCTATCAGACACTGTGCTGCTATGAACATGGGCACACATATATCACTGTGGTATGATTCTTTTAATTCTTTGGGGAAGATCCCCAGCAGTGGAAGAGCGGGGTCAAATGGGACTTCCAGTCCTAGTTCTTTGAGGTATCTCCATACTGATTTCCACAGTGCTTGCACCAGTCTACACTCCCACCAGCAGTGGAGCAGGGTTCCTCTTTCCCCACAGCCCCGCCAGCATTTGTTATTGGTTGATTTCATGATAGCAGCCATGCTTTCTGGAGTGAAGTGGAATCTCAGTGAGGTTTTCACTTGCATCTCTCGAATGACCGGTGATGTTGAACATTTTTTCATGTATTTATTTGCTGTTTCTACTTCTTTGTCTGAGAAATGTCTGTTCATTTCAGATGCCCATTTTTGGATTGGGTCTTTAAATTTGGGAGGTCTGATCTTTTTAAGTTCTTTATAGATTCCAGATAGTAGACCTTTGTCTGAGGAAGAGCAGGTGAAGATTTTTTCCCACATTGTGGATTGTCTCTTCACACTGCTGGTGGTTTCTCTTGCTGTGTAGAAGCCTTTTAATAAGAAGAGATCCCACTTGTTGATTGTTTGTGCTAGTTCACGGGCAACTGAGGTTTTGTTCATAAAATCTTTTCCTACACCGATGTCTTCAAGGGTTCTACCTAACCTCTGTTCCAACTGGTTCATGAACCATTTTCTTACACACATACAGCTCAGTGTGCCCTATGACATATAATCCATGATTAGATAACATTTATTAGGTATGGGACAATGGGGTTTTTTTTCTTTTTCTACAACAGCAGAGGGACAAAGCAGATAGTTAATGATTTGAAAAGCTCTCTGATTCAAGAACATCTACCAACAGAACTCGTGTCCAATAATAGATCAAAAATATCTGGTCATCTAATTTGTAACAAGGATAATACTGCAGTGCCATGAGAAAGTAATTTCAAGAATAGTGCTGAGTCATAGGAATTATTCATCTGGAATAAAACATATCTTGACCTAGCCTGCCTCACACCATGAACAAAAATGAGTACCTTATGGATTTTAGAATTAACTGTGCACGATAAAGCAATACATTATTTTTATTTGAAACTTAGAAAAGCTGGTGAGTAATTTAAGTGTAGCATAATTTCTTTGAGCAGGGTCCTATACCTGGTACCATAGAATCAGAGAACACTACAAAAACCCTCTGCCTTTATTTTAACCTGCCTTATGCTCTCCCTTTCATGTCCCAGCTCCATAGCAAAGTCCTGCACTGTGGTCTACACCCTGCCTTTGAATGCTGCTGCCCCTCCCGCATCTCAAGCCTCTTTGTTTTATGAAAGCTCTTGATACATTTTACAGACCCTCCCCGCGGGCATTTAAATTGAATTATAATTCTCAACTGATAACAATTTTGAAATGAATATTGTGATGACAATTGACTATGTTTTAAAGAGTGTATTGTTTTGGAAACTTATTCTAACATCAGTGCTCAAAGACCATTTATCCATTGCCAAAGAAAATTGCAAATGAGAGTTTTTTCCCCCTATTTTCCTTTTTTAAGGAAGAAATGTCTTCTGTTAAAGGAAGTCCAAAACGGGAAATAATTTATGAATTTCACAGTGCAGCTGCCGAAGGAGATATGGCCAAGTTAACAGGACTACTCAGTCATTCTCCATCTCTTCTCGATGAAACTTCTGAAAATGGCTGGACTGCTTTAATGTATGCAGCAAGGAATGGGCACTCAGATGTTGCCCAGTTTCTGCTTGAGAAAGGGTAAACATTTTAGGCTTTACCACTTCAAAGAGTTTGTGGTTTAATTTCTGTGTTACATATATCCTTTCAGATTTTACTTCTAACTAGATATTTATATTATTGGGCCAGTAAGTAACTCATTAATCAGTTTATTATATAAAAAGTAGCACGATTTCTAACTAAAAACTAACTTTTTTTTTGCTGGTTCTGGGAATTTTTTTTACTGGTTCTGCATGCCAAACAAGCATTCTACCTCTGAGTTACATCCACAGCTATGGTTCCTTTTTTATTACTATTATTGATGAATTAACCTGTCATACTTAATAATAAAGCAAATTTATCAGTAATCTTTTTCTCCCCAATAAAAAATACAAACCTTATTATGATTACCAAAGACTCTTTGTAAAATTTTCATATCACTTTATGGTGCATAAAAGTGCTAGTTTTTATGAATAATTATCCAAGAATTACACATATCCTCTATCTCTAACCTTTCCTCACTGTGATTATTCTTTTAATCTTTCCAATAGTAAGCTGTGTACCAAAATAAAAACGTAATATGTATAATGATTAAATGGAGGGACTATAATGTATACCTAGAAATATATTGAAATAAATATAGGAGAAAATGTTTACTTCCAATTTTATTTTTCCTCCCCTATTCTTTCTTCCATCTATAGGTGTGATAGATCAATTGTCAATAAATCAAGGCAAACGGCACTGGATATTGCTGTATTTTGGGGCTATAAGCATACAGCTAATTTATTAGCTAATGCTAAAGGTGGGAAGAAGCCTTGGTTCCTAACCAATGAAGTAGAAGAATGTGAAAATTATTTTAGCAGAACACTACTGGATCGCAAAAGTGAAAAAAGAAATAATTCTGACTGGCTGCTAGCTAAAGAAAGCCATCCGTCCACAGTTTATATCCTTTTCTCAGATTTAAATCCCTTGGTCACTTTAGGTGGCAATAAAGAAAGTTTCCAACAACCGGAAGTCAGGCTTTGTCAGCTGAACTACACAGATGTAAAGGATTACTTGGCTCAGCCTGAGAAGATCACCTTGATTTTCCTTGGAGTAGAACTTGAAATGAATAAAAAGTTACATGATCATGCCAGAGAAGTCCCAAGAGAAGAGGAAGATCAGTTGGTTGCTTGGTTTGCTCTAGGTATAGATCTTATTGCTGCCAAAGAATTTAAACAAAGACATGAAAATTGTTATTTTCTTCATCCTCCAATGCCAGCTCTTCTGCAGTTGAGAGAAAAAGAAGCTGGTAAGATATGAACTCTGCTTGCTTGTTTTGGTAATAATCTGGCTTTTGAACGGAATTGAACGTCAGTGTATTTATAATTTCCAGGTGGCACATTTTTTCCATTAAGCAGTAAAATTAGGTTGTCTTCATTAGAAACTTCCAAAACTGTTCAATCTGTAACACTACTCTCAGTCGCAGTGTTTTAATCACCCAAGTTAGCTTCCTAAAATTGACCATAATGTACGATGATTTCATTTAATTCTTCAGCCACTGTTATACACTGAACATAATCTCAGAGCCCTCAACTGTTTTGTCTTCTGTTGCTAAGCCTTTTTATCCTATGGTAAGAACTAGAATTTTAATCTAAATGTCATATAAATATTGTAAGCTGGCCTATGCTTCTGTTTGTGCAGTTTTTTAAGAAAAACGTCCTACTAGATGCTTTTACAGTATGAATTATAGGAGGAGTAAAATATGGAAATCAGTTATGAGGGAATTGTATACTATAATAGCCCAGGTAAGAAACTGCAATGGCTTGGACTTGAGTAGTAGCAAGGAAGATGGAAAGCTTGAGATACTGTGAATGTAGAACTGATAGACACTGATCTGTGGTTGAGACCTTTATAAGTGAGAGGTAGATGGTGTTAACCTTTACTCAGGCACATATTAAAGCGCTAATAATAGACATGACAAAAAGGGGTATGTTCATGAAGTATAATTGGAGATAATAATAACTGCTGATGCAAGAAGCACGAATGACTACTAGGAGAGTTCAGTAATTTAATATTGATACCATTTCTTGGTAATAAAGGGAGATGGATAGAGTAAGGATAGCCGGACAGATTTGGAGTAAATCAAGAGTTTTCTTTCAGATAAGTTAAATTTTTGAGAGGGATCTAAGAATCTAGTACTCAGGGAAGAGAGAGAACTAGAGAGACTCGGGGCAGTTATCAACTAAGTGGTATTTAAATCCTAAGAAACTACCGAGGTTATGTAGAGAATTGAAAGCAACAAGAAAAAGACCTAAATCCATCGAAATTTACAGGTCAGATATAAGCAGAAGGGCCAAAGAAGGTGACTCGCCATAACATAGGAGGAAACTAAGATAGCGCATTTCAAGAGGAGACTGGTCAAGTGTATCAAATGCTGTTAGGAGTTTGAGTACTTTTTAAAAGAACCTTTTGTTTGGATATTGTAAAGCTGCTGGTGAATTTGACACGAAGAACATCAGTAGCATGCAAGGAACAAATAATGAGGATTTAATGGGAGATGAGAAAGATCACAGCTATTCAGAAAACAGTGTATGTTTATTATTGCTTGGAAACATTATACCTATATACTAATTTTTTACAATTTATTGTAGCCTGAAACCTCTTTGTGCTTTTTTAAAAAGGAGTTGTAGCTCAAGCAAGATCTGTTCTTGCCTGGCACAGTCGATACAAGTTCTGCCCAACCTGTGGAAGTACAACTAAAATTGAAGAAGGTGGCTATAAAAGAGTGTGCTTGAAAGAAGACTGTCCTAGTCTCCATGGTGTTCATAATACATCATACCCCAGAGTCGGTAAGCCTTTTCTTTTGCAGCTACCTGGAATCCTGGAGAATAAGACATTTCTAGAAAGACAAGTTTTTAAAGGTGCTAAAAGGCTTTAACTTTTTATTAAGAACTTGTTTAACCATTAAAACTGTAAGTATTAAATTATTCTGTGTTCTCATGATTTTTTAATCAAAGATATTGTGCATAATTAGTCATTTCTTAACTTTAGGAAATTCAGTATGAACATTGAGGTACAGGATTTTAAAAGCCAGCCAGTCTGACTCTTCCTTTGGAGAGATTAAAAAATAAAGCCCCCAGTAGTTCAGTGCCTGCTTGAAGCATTACCAAAGCAGTAGAGCTGGGAGCTAGGTTCTCATTACTGCTAGTATCCGCCTCTACCTTCTTTCCTTCTAATTGCTGTTTTGTATCTGCCGTAGGTTTGGAAATCTGATAACCCAGCCCTTTAAAACTGTAAAACATGAACAAATAGACCTAGCAGCACCTGAGGAGGTCTCCACGGAGTAAAATACTTAGCTTAGTGACATCTGTTTTTGTTGTTCAAGAGCCTTTTACATTTAATTCCTAGTTCTTAATCATGATCTAGTGAGGAGAATTTGCTACATCAGTGACTTGGAGAGAAATGAACTCTTCTTTTAAATTTTGCAATGACTTTAACAAACCTAAACATAGAGCCACATGAGCTTTATAAAACATTTTTCTAAAGACAAATAGAAAAGAGAGGGAAATCTGCCATATTTACTATGAAAGTTTAATTTTTTCCATATCCAAGTATTACAGAGTTAGGCTTTTTTCTCATTAAAAAATAATATGCATACCATACCCTGAGTACAAAATAAATGTTGCTAAGATTGTGGGAAGGAAGGCAAAAATGGCCTTTCTTTAGCTTACTGATAGTGTTCTATGCAATTTCTTTGAGATACTCTGTCATCAGCCACATCAGAGCAGAAAGAAACAATCTCTTATAAACAAAAGAATCTTGATCCTTGACAAAATATACCTTTAATATCATCTTCCCAGACAGTGACTTTGCCTAGTGAATCTGAATTATTTTATCTTGTCATTCAGATACCTGATTTCTTTTCACAGATCCAGTAGTAATCATGCAAGTTATTCATCCAGATGGGGCCAAATGTCTTTTAGGCAGGCAGAAAAGATTTCCCCCAGGCATGTTTACGTGTCTTGCTGGATTTGTTGAACCTGGTAAGCCTTGTCTGAATACATTTTATAATTTCATTTAACTTATGATTTCCAAATAAAAATTTCAGATAGCCCTGAAGTTATAATTTCTAATAAATTATCATGTTATAAAACTAAGTCATATTTTTAAAATGCTTTAAATGTATTATTTTAAAGACATAATTTAAACATGGTGTAATTTTCATATTTTACTATTAATTTCATTTATTAAAAATTCAGTGCTGGTTCTTTCATACATTGTTCTTTGCCAAGGTCCATAGATAGTTTTCACCTCTGTTCTGTGCTTAACTGTCGCCTTCCGAAAGGGCCTAGGTGATCCCCCCAGTACGTAGTTAGCCCTGTGCCCTGCATTCATATTCTGTCCTGCTGCCTGACTTTCCCCTGCGGCAGACAGTGTCACAAGTGTGATTCATACTCGTTTACTGTCTGCCCTTACTGGATGCTAGTCCCATAAAAGCAGGAACTTTGGTTTATTCATTTCTGTGTCCCACAGCCTGAGAGCAGATGTCTCACATGTGTTAGGGACTCATTGAGTATCTGTGGAATAAACAAATGCATATATTGAATTAATTAATGTTTAATTTCAACTTCCAATCTTAATTTGCATCCCTAGATAAAGTAGTAAACCCGGGTGGTATAAAGCTCATTTCTGGAAGCTTTATGTGTTTAGCTCACATCCCCACACAGCCTCGTATAATAGGCACTATCACAACAGTTTTAAATATGAGGCACTAAGGAGAGAGACTGATAACTTGCCCAAGATCATTCAAGCCCAGGCAGTTTGGCTTGTAAGTCCTTGTTCCTAATCACTTTACTGCTTCTCATAGTTTTAGGTGAGTTTTTAACTGCCAGGCACTGTTCCATATATGTATATTCTGTTATGTATTCCTCCTTCCTGCTGTGGGTGTTTAGCTTATTTTGAGGCTCTGCCTGTTACAAATAGTGAATATTTTATACTTCTACTTATGCCCATTCACAACAGTTGTCTGGAGTATATTCACAGAGTAGAAGGGCTAGCTCATATGATGTGAGCATCTTAACCTTTTCTCCATGTTGCCAAATAACACAAGCTAGTGTTCTTGCCAATTTACACTCCCACCAGCAGTACGTGAAATGTTCCATTATTTCTTATCTTCACGAAGTTAGGATTTTCACATTTTTAAATTTGTCATTCTGAGGGGTATGAAATAGTACGTCATTGTTTTCATTTTCATATTTCTGCTGATGGAGCATCTTTTTCAGATGTACATTATGTATCCAGTTTTCCTTTTCTTTGAATTCTAAGTGTTCATATCCTTCGTCTATTTTTATTTTGGTTGTTTATCCTCTTTTATTTTTGATTTTAAGTTTCAAATATGTATACAGTGGACCCTTGACTTACAAACTCAATTTGTTCGTGAGGGCTGGTTGTAACTCAAGTTGGTTGTAAGTCAAGACTATTTTCCCCCATAAAAACTACAGTATATGTTAATCTCTTGTTTTTAGTATTGCATTAGCTTGTGACCTATTTTGCTATACAGTAAGTCCCCGTCTTGTGAAGGGAGAATATTCATAAGTCAGATTTGTTCCTAAGTCCCAACAGAGTGAGTCTCATATACCTTTGACACAAATATACTTTGCATATTTCTTTGTGCTTCCTAGCAGTCCCCACCATATCACTCCTGCTTTCCCTCCTGCTTCTGGATAGCCTGGGCTCTGAGCACTGTACTACTGTGTACTGTCGCACTGCACAGTGAGCACACAGCAGCACAACTGTGACAGTGTCTTGCAGACATGTGAGCTGCTTCCGCAATTTGTGCACATCTACCAGTGTTCTTTTTTTTTTTTTTTTTTGGTACCAGGGATCAAACTCGGGTCCTTGCGCTTGCACAGCAGGTGGCAAAACCATTGAGCTAAATCCCCAGCCCATCTACCAGTGTTCTTAATGCAAGGTCCATTCATATCTGTGAAAGTTTGCAACTTGAATATTTGTAAGATAGGAACTTACTGTATATTTTATTTTGATGGGTATAAGTTCTTAATTTTTATGGAGGAAATTTATCAATATTTGAAATTAGAAACTACATTTAAAAATATTTTGCTAAGTAATGCTATATATTGCTAAATATTTATAAAGTTCCAGATAAATTTACTTAAAAACATTTTCCTCTATTCAGATTTTCAATTCTGTGAAAATCAGAAATGTAAAGGACATTTATGAGCATCACATTATTTTCTCATGGCTGAATCAACAGTCATTTAGAGGAAAACAATTGCTTAAAAAGAAAAAATACTGAATTTCATTTTAGGTGATTTTTAAATTCTTTTAGTGTCCTGAAAAGTTATCTGCAGTGATTGTTTGACAGCATAACAAAAGGGTTTTAGTTTTTAATGGGGAAAGACCTAGCCATTCATAAAAGTCATGTAATGGTAACTTATAACTATTTAGTGGTAATGTATAAGTGAGACAACATATAAGATGTTTGTAAGGTTTAGCCAGTAATGTGTTATGGATAGTTGTAGATTTTGTTATTATTTGTAAAATGTACCTGACAAATTTGAAACTTTAATAAATGAAAAATTTCTTGTTGACATTTTGATATTCTATGTATGATCATATGCTTTTAGAAATAATGTTTTCTTCCCTTTGTCTTGTATTAGTATTCTTTGAATTTGATTTCTCTCCAAAATGACTTTCACATGTTTGCACCATTTGGAGTGTAAAATGTCCAGGGTATGTTCATCAACACCTTGTTCTTTTGCCCCATTTGATTAGGGGAGACAATAGAAGATGCTGTTCGGAGAGAAGTAGAAGAGGAAAGTGGAGTCAAAGTTGGCCATGTTCAGTATGTCTCTTGTCAACCATGGCCAATGCCCTCCTCCTTAATGATTGGTTGTTTAGCTGTGGCAGTGTCTACAGAAATTAAAGTTGACAAGAATGAAATAGAGGATGCCCGCTGGTTCACTAGAGAACAGGTAAAGTTCAATTTAATTTCCTTCTTCTATTGATTGTTCCCTGACAGTATTGGTTTGGGCATGCAGCAAGGAAGCATATTTTCCACAAGTTGAATGAAGGACTACAGCCCTCTCATTATGTATGGATTACAATATAACTGCTAATTCCATATAGAAAGAGTGTATGTTCACTGATGTGTCCCATTTTAACTCATTCTAGTAATGATTGATCCTGTGTCATTTCAAATTTCAGATGCCATTCTTTTAAATTAATGATAATAGTTTTCAGTGGACTTAAAGTACATAAGCATTAGTTCAAAATTAAGAAACTTGTTTTATATTTTAGTCTCATAGCATTAGAATAGGTAGCTCTCAAAAGAAATCAGTGAAAATACTTAAATTTTTCGAAGTTTTTATTTTGAAATGTGCCAGAGGCCAAGAGTGACATAACCATGTAACATACACTCACAAGAATTTAAAAACAGCATCTCTAAATAATATAATGGAAGACAAATTCCTTTTCTGTGTTTCCCATGACCCAAAACAATTTATATGGAAAAATGGATACACTCCAGTAGTCAATACATGAAATCCTTTTTGACTACTCCCATGAAATTAATTTTATTTAATACTCTGTCCCAAAATGCAGAAATTAGATTATTGTTTTAGAATTTTAGAAAAGGGAATCTTGTCCCCAGAGTTGGCTTTTCTCAGAAATTAAGTGTGGACATATATTTTGCTTTTCCATGACCTCATTTTCATAAGAGAATATATCTTTCTGGAGCATCTGAAAAATTAAAACACTAATTCAGTGAAACAATTAAAAATGCTGTACTAAATTTTGCATGTTGAATATGGATATTGTCACTTTCTACTGTTGTTATTCACTGCAAAAGCCATCACATTTCAGTTGAATTATATAAGCATGGAAGTAGTATTTAAACACAACAGTGTTGAATCCCTAATGCATTTTATTATGTATTTTAGGTTGTGGATGTTCTAACCAGAGGGAAGCAGCAAGAATTCTTTGTGCCACCAAGCCGAGCAATTGCACATCAATTAATCAAACACTGGATTAGAATGAACCCCAATCTCTAAATCAAAGCACTAGGCTTTGAGTATAATTCTGTTTCTAATACTACTTTTCAATTGAGATTTCAAGTATTTAGTTCTCTTTAGAGTGTCAAAACACAAAATACGCTGGCTGTCAGAATATTTTCAAAGTGTTCTCTCCTTCATTAACCACAGAATTCACATTTTTATAAATTTCAACATTGCCTTAGATTTCTTTAAATTTGGATGAGAGTTTGAAATTTTTTGATTATGCATCAGTTTTATCTTACAAACCATATTTCTAATAAGAGACTTCATGTTGTAAAGAATATGTTCTAGAAGTGTGAATAAGCCTAAATTTCAGTCCTCTTATAAGTATTAGTCTGCTCACTAAAATTCTTTATGTGAGAAATGAAACAAAATTTTAATGAATTTTGAGCTAATATTGATTTTTAGGCATTTAATTGCCATAAAGATCCTTTAAGTTATCAAGATCTGATTTTTGCTCATTTTTCTGTTGCAGTACCACTTAACCTTTCTTCCTAGTTCTGTTACACTAGTAGTGGTGCTGTCACTGCTAGTCTAGTTTGACCAGTGCTAAGGATTTCTTATTTTAACAACCAGTTTTATTAGTGATCTCAGAATACCACATTCATAGAAGGAGAACTAACAAGAGAGCATACCACTGTGTCTGGAACTTCTTCTTTAGACCTAAAATTAATTAATTTACCTATTTATATATTACTTATGCCCAAAGTTGTTCATAAGATAAATCAAGATTCTTTGCTTTTTCACTGAAATTATGCATATTTGAAAGGAATTATCCTCAAAGGTCAGATATTAATTAAATCTCAGATATATTTACATATTCAATTAAAAGCAAGTGTATTTCATTTTGTGATGAGGAATGTATCTGTGTTAGCAAAATAAATTATATAATCATTACCATCAGTACTTAAAATGTTCAACTCCAACATCTTTATTTTGACTTTAACACATTCTAAAAAGCCGTAGTAAAATGAGTGCATTTTAGAGTTGAATCAGTAAGATTCCAGCGAAAGTAAATTGTACTAGTTCACAGTTTTGCAGCATAGAAATATATATTTTACAAGGTTGTTTTGAAATTGTTTTAAAAGATGTTTATAAATGTACAAATTTATATAATTTAGCTCTTTACTCTTATATGTTAGAATTGGAAGAGACTTTGAGATACTATATGAACTTCATTGCCTTCATTTTATAGTTAAGTAAAAGGAAATCCTGGGCCGAAGATTTAGCTCAGTGGTTTCGCCACCTGCTGCGCAAGCACAAGCACAAGGACCCGAGTTTGATCCCCGGTACCAAAAAAACAAAAAAAGGAAGTCCTGGAAGGTACAATTCACTAATTGGTGAAAATTATGCCAATAATTAATTATAACAGCCTGTGCTGTGTAACCCAGGGCAAGAGTCTCTAATAGTAATGAAAAGCTTTTACCAAAAATGCATGTGGAATAGATGGGATGAAAAGAATAAATTTAGTTTGCCAAATATTGCTAAACCTTTAGGCATAATACTTCAGTATTTAAATTAAAAAGATAACTTTGTTGGATAAAACTTTTACTAATGAGCAATTTTTAGTAGTTAATGGAGGCTTATTGATATCAGAACTTTAAACTAAATTAAGACTTACACAGGACCTTTATAGACATGATATAATAGTGACTGCATAATTATATGGAAAGTAAGGTACTTCGGTTATTATGAAATATAATGACTTAAGGTTCAGTTTTACTCCAAATGTACTTTTAATACTTGCAGATTCTAGCATTACACAGTAAAATTCCGGGTTTACCTAATGTTAGGGTTGGAAAGTAAAATATAAAGTGTCAACAAATATAGGTATAAATTTAGTTTCAGATATTTTGTACTTGAGGAAAATCAGTATCTAAATTATTGGTTTAATAATTATTACTAAATTGCTAACCTCTGAGAGGTGAATAAGTACATGTAAATAGAAGGAATAGCCAATTCAAAAAATAATAAAGGTGTGTCATGAATGTATTCTAATGGAAATGAATGTGACATTAAAATATTTATTTTCTGTTTTGTGTGCTTTACATTTTTTAATGTTTTGATAAATTTCTTTTGACAAGTGGAAAAAGCCCAATGTTAGTCATCATCCCCTTTTTAGAAGTATGAGTGTTAAAAAAAAATGCAAAAGCCACCTTCAAAGTTTCCATTATATGGAATAAAGTTTTGATTTGCGGGCTAGAGATTCAGCTTGCTCATAGAGTGCTTCTGTAGAATGCACAAGGCCTTTGGTTTGATTTCAAGGATTAGAGAAGAAAATGATATTGGAACCTTAAATTTTGTTCTTTGGAGTCAAATACATGCATCTCCACACATGGTCTAGCAAATCCATCTATATGTAGTAAGTAATTTTTAATATCCAGGCTTAAAGCTAGTATTATGCATATACATAGTATTATATTTTTTATTACTTGTCTAATATTCTCAGCCTTGGCATTTTGAAATTTTTATTTGTTTGCTATTCTTGAAGAATTAAAAGCACATGTATTTTATTTGAAAAAATGAATATATCTGTCAAAGATTCAAGTGAGAATTTGAATGAAGACAGAAAAGACCATAACAGAAGTGAGACCAGGGGATGGAAGAAGGAAGTATAAATTTGTGGACCCAAATAAACTAGATAAAATCTCACATAAAACAGTAGCAGTGGACAGCTGGTCCTACAACTGTGCTGCTAATGTGAATTCAGCAAAATATTAGGTGAAAGTGTTCTATGAAACATTCATTAATCATGTAGAATAAAATTTCCACAATGCAAAGTTCATTAGAATTTATAACCAGTTAGTAGGTTCTGAACATATATGAGAGACAAGTGGTGGGTGTCCAGTGAAATTTGTGCTTGTTAAAGGGCAGTTTTCTCTAGTTAAAAAAAAAAAAGTAGGACAAAGTGAATTCACTGTGCAAAATTAGGGATTTCTGCCTTCAAAAACAAAATCTAGGTCTTGAGGCAAACCAAGAGTTGGGGAAGGAGGACAAGGGAGCTCGGTGTTCTGTGTATAAGAGAGTGGTTGATGAGGGGCCAAAGCTTGGAACTTGGGCACCACAGGGACAGGCTGTGCTGTGAGGAGGCGGCCTCGATAATCTTGCCGAACACGTATGTTCAAAAAGTCACTGATGAGGCGCTAACAAGAGAGGAAAATAAATACTGAAGATGATTTTTTATTTTCTTCCTAACCAGGATACTCAGGGTAGAATTCAAAACAGCTTCTGAAAGATCATATTGTACACAATAAAATTTCTGTCATATACTGTTCAATAGATTAATATATACAATATATTTTCAAATAAGCTTATTTTCTCAAAGTAGAAATGGTCTAAGAAAGGGCCATTCAAGTAATAAAAATGATACGAGAAAAATAAACCAGTAGCCTGAATTTTTGTTCGGAAAAAAAATTTTTTTCAACTGATCAAATAAAGCATTTGGGCTAATAGGCATATTCCTCCTATTTTTATTGAAAGATAACAGAACCAGGGATTTAGCTCAGTGGTTCTGCCTCCTGCCTCAAGCACAATGTCCCAAGTTTGATCCCTGGTACCAAAAAAAAAAAAAAAATCCACATATACTCCTTGGGAAAAACAGCACATTTTTCTTTATTCCTTCTAGAATATTATGCTTCTATTCTTTATTGCAAAGCAGACAAAGCCCTAACACCAGACAATGGATATTTCACAACTCATAATATGTTTTTCAGAATAGAGTGACAGTGAAATTTTAAGTTAGAAAAAAAAGTTTCTGCCAGTGGAAACATTTTTCTTTGTAACTGAAAGTCTGATAAGTGACAAACTGCAGCTAAAAAAATGAAAAAATGTTCTAGGTTTCCATTCCTGGGCTTACTGGAAGTGTGCTAGACCAAATCCTTGTCTCACTTCAGTAGATGAAGAACATTCTTCTAACTGCTTAACTTGTAGGTGACTTTGTTTTTAATAATGAAGTTATACCCAGGAGTAGAAATTAGAAATGATACTCAGCCTGTTTTAGGACAGAGTGAATAGACAAGTGATGTAGTCTGAAGCTAATTTTTGTTTACTTTTTAATGGGCCCATTTTACTTAAGCAAAACTGTAGTCTACTGGGACCGTGATCTGAACACAGCAGTTGAGTTCCTCATTAATATTTATTACTGCTCTCAGGTGGCAGTGAGCTGAAGTCATCTCTTATCAGCGAGAGTAAAGTGATTTTTAAACGCCATTTATCTAACAGCTTTAGTGCAGTTATTTGACATACTTTTCTGCTAGGCTTACTTGTGTTTATGGAGCAAATTTGAATAGTACCAAACTGCTTAGAAAATTTGGAACTCCATAGAAAAGATGTCCCTATGATGTGTGCAAATTGAAACCTCAGGGGCTTTCTTGATCGAGACCATCAGAGTGAGAGCTTCAGCGGGAGTATATAAATGAGAGTCAGTAGGAATTCCATGTGTTGTAGGATGATAGAAGTACCCATATGTCTACATGGACCTCAAAGTTTTCATGGCTGTGAAGATGTTTTTAAAGTACATCCTTAATTTATTTTGTATAGATTACCAGGTTTGCCATACCAATCTTTTCTTTAGTTCCCAGTTACTTAATATATCTCATGAATAATAAGTACATTTTTATTACATTTTGATGATAAATTCACCTCATAAATAGCAGTGAAAACAGTATGTCACACTGCATAGATTAAAGCACTTTCAGTCTTAAATTTTCAATCTCTTAAATTTTGGCCATTTTTCAAGTTGGGTCTTCTACTGTTGTTACTCTACCTATTTATAGGGGACCTTCTCTACTTACTTGGTTCCCAAATGTCTGTCTCCAGTAATCAATTCAACCTACCTACTCAGATGTTCCTGGATGTCCCAAATACTATGCATCTTAAATTATCTTTTTCTCCGGTGTCAGTAGTCTTGCCAACAAGTGAGTTTGGGGATTCTTATTATTAATTTATCTACTTCATTTCTCATTCAATTGCACCCCATAGCCAATCTCTAAATCCTGTGCCCTTTATTTGCAAATACTTGTGAATTTCAATTTATTCCTCTCCTGGTCCATGCTCTCCACAACTTCCACATGCTTTCCCCCTTCCCCTCCTCCCTTGTTTCTTCTCCTCATTCACTACTACCATCCTACTTCATACCATTCACCTGATTTCTACTTCTTAAATTTGTCTCCTGTGTCCAGTTTTATTCCAGTCTACTTTTCACACTGCAACCAAGTATATCTCATTAATAAATAATTTTAGCTTGTCTTTATTTTACTTAAAACTTCAAAAGACCCTCTCTTTCGATAAAGGAAAAGTCCAGTTTCATTAGTATACCATTTTACCTCTCTAGTTTTAACTCTTAACATTTCCCTTTTTTCCAAATTCTTAAGTATACACCATAATTTATGTTCTTACAAAGAACAGTAGAAGAACCTAAATTTTAATTATGCATCAGTAACATTCACTAAACACAATCTGAATAATTTATGACAAATACATGCCACAAGTATAAATAGAAATAATATTTATTCAAAAATTCTAAACTATATTTTTTATTTTTATTGGGACATGTTTGCAGTGCATAATGATTACATCCATCATGAGGAGTTGGTACATAACACATCTTAATTTTTTTCATCCACTTTTCCTCCCCCCTCGTCACTCTTAAGTTCCTTTCCCTTTTGCAAAAGATCTATCTCCCTATACTTCTAAGCTATATTTTCATTTATATACAATATGAGATTTCAGAAATCTTAAATCAAGGCCTGTGGTACTAATCCCAGTTTTACAAATGAACGCATGGAATCTAATGAAGGTCAAATAACTTTCCCAAGATCAACATACCACAGGGAAATAGGACTGAAATTTAAATCTTCTGAATCAGAACCTATAAACTCTACCATACCCTATGCTTCCCCACCCTGTCTACCACACACAGAGAAATGAACTACCTAATAAGTAACTTGATCCATGTAAATAGCCAAACTACATCATTTGCTTTCGTTTTTGTCTGGGGTTTTTTCCATTTCATCTCTACCATTTGAACATCATGCCTTCATTTCCTGTATACTGGTAACAAAGCTCTTAATTCACAAAAGCACACAGTGCATCATTGTGCACTAAAACTATATTTTAAAATAAGCTATTAAGAATGATTAAGATGGATAATAATAGACTGATTAAACGATAATAGAGCATTCCTGACACTGCATAAGATTAACTATGCTAATCAGATTTTGAATTTAGAGAACTCAAGTCATTCCAAAGTAGAACAATACAAGATACTCAAATCTTTACTTCATTTTCTTGCCTTTCAAAATATATATTTTTGTTTTATTCATGTTTCCTTCAGAGCTGAGTGATTTATGAAGGCTGTACCCAGGTGAGCCATATATGTGTGTGTGGATGTATATATATATTCCCTTTTTGAGTGAAGTATTCTCTATTTTAATCTTTGCTGTCCTAAATTAGTTGCTTGGCAAAGAATTATAGCAAAGGGAAATTATTTAAATGTTATATATTTGAAGACAATTTAACAGCATATTTCTTTCCAATCAGAAAATATACAGCAGCTGTTTGTAACTTGCTCTGTTAACAAATAAAGGATGGTAACATCCAAAAAATTCTAAATAACCCATGTGTTTAGGACTCTTATTTATGCTAAGAAAGACATCATATGCACATTTGAATAGCCATTATCCATATCCTAATTTGGTTATTTCAAATAAAGTGTGCATTTGGAAAGCAAGGAAAATGCAATTGACAAGCTAGGCTTCTAAGCATAATTGAAATTCATTCTGAATGCAGGAAGGGTCAGTTTCATTTCTAAGCAGAAGACCTTGTTTTGAATTCCTGTGTTCTGCTTTGTTTCCTTCACAGCATTAAATTCACTAATTACCAAAATGATTTTTTTATCTACTCAAGTTAGTAAAGTTTTTCATTAATTTTATACTTCATTTTACTTAAATATTTATAATTAATTCTTAACTATAGTCATTACCCAAAACATTGTAATCTGAACTAAAAAAAAAAGACATTCAAGGTTTTAATATTTT